TGCCGCGGGGGGGGGGGGCATTAAGAGTTCACGCTCGACAGCCCACCGACGCCATTGCCCAATGAGACGTCTTTAGTAACCATGGGTAGAGGCTCCTGCGATCAGTTTTTACTAAATGAGCTTTACATGATTGCACCGGGTGCATTGGATGCCGCGTCCCATCAAACTGAATTAAAATTAAGTTATAAAAATTGTAAAATTTCAAGGCTCCCCAAGAGAAAGCCGCGGCTCTCAGAGGCGCCGCACTCTCTGGGAACAGGTCTGCCATCTCAAAAAAACTAAAATTTACGGACCCATTTTTAAAAATAAACATACCAAGCTAAAAAATAATTCATTCAAATATGTTTTATAAATATGTCTGTATGACTCTTGCTTGAACCTATTTTATAACATTATTTACATGTCCAATGTCTCATCTTAAAATTCGTACTGACATTTACGGACATGACGTCACATTTTTACAGAATATCCGTAAATTTAAGTTTGGTGACCCAGTGTCTGGGGACCATTGCCTTAAGCTACAGAAAATGGTGTACAAAAATACTGTATATATATTCTTTTTAAAATTGCTATCTATTTTGAAGCCCATTTAGTATCACTAGATTAAAAACTATAACTACGACTATAGAATACCTTGGTTATTTATAATATGTCCAATATCTAGGTGGAAAAAGATGCTTTAATTTTAACTTTAAAAACGTTTCCTTTTAAAATTCACTTTATAAAACTACATTCGAGGGAGACCATTACTAGATTAAGTTTACGAAAGTTTCAATTTTTTAATTCCCTTGGTTGATGACGAAATTGATTATTTTCAAGATCATTAATGTTGAGTTCACTCTATCAAAATTTTCGTCAAATTTCTTTTTGAACGCACTATATAGTAAAACAAAATATTGTTTTCAAAAAGAAATGTGACGAAAATTTGATCGTGTGAACTGACCAAAGCAAACAGCATGATGGAACTGGTGCCCAGAACACAAAGAGGGTCTCCATCCATGTGCATTTAAAAACAGAAACAACTGTAGCGCGCCCTCTCCTACCTTTGGCCCTGGGAGGGGAAGATTCAGTTGGCAGGTGATGTCTTCAGCAATGCCAGATAACCTAAAGGCAAATGAGGCACGGGCCTTTAGGGGCCCAGCGACAAAGAGTCCTTTTAAAAAAAAATGGAAGTGATATTGAAAGAAGTCTAGTCTACATATCTATATAAAACATTGGGGAGGAGAGAAAGAAGTAAGGGAAATAAAATAATGTTATAAAATAGGCTCAAGAAAAAGTCATGCACACATTATCATAAAATATAATCCATAGGATATTTGAAATTTTTCTTTTTAGCTTGGTTAATTTATTTTGAAATGTGTAAGTAAAAATTTTTAGCCCTTGAACTTTATTTATGCCTACACTATACCCACTATTTATTATGGATTCTTTCTCCCGGGGCCTCATTTGCCTTAAGATACGGCACTCATGGCCACACTTGGTATTAATCAAAATTAAAATTTTATAAAGTATGTCCCTACAACACAAACCCTTAGTGGGGGCAGTGAGGCTATACAAAAATAAAACATTTTGATCTAATGAACTCTTCAGAATGTAACCACTCCCTTGAATAAACCACAGCCCTTTGGCGAGAGCAAAAATCCAATAGAGAGGAGAAGAAATACAAGACACATACTTTTACTGAACCACATGAAAATACTTCACTATTTCTGCAAGCCCTTGAAAATGAAATATTAGATAGGAATCTTTACAAAATTTGAATTGATTTGATAACAAATGGGGGGTTTATAGCCACATCAGATGGTTTATTGGGAAACAAGTTATTTTTTCTTTACAGATGTCACAGAAACACTTAGGATATATCCAAACAAAGGCAACTTATAACTTACACCAACAGTTCACCTGCATTTTATCAGTAGCTAATGCCTTACAACTTCGGCACAGAAATCAAACATGCCACTGCTTTTTTTTTTTCATGCGTACATCATCTCAGCCATGGTGGACATTTTCCTAGGGATATGGAGCAAGTCCTCAAAGTAACTAGCCAGTTCATTAACGTTGGTTTCTTCCATCCTCATCTCCAGAGAACATGAACGATTTATGCTGCTGCCTTCCAGAGGTGTGTTTTGGATTGAATGAGGTAATAAAGGTAAGTTCGAGGAGGTCTCAACCTCCGATGAAGCTGTGACAGGTTCGGCTGACGCCCCACCACTTGACTGACCAGCTGTTTTCCAAGATGAGAATTTTGTTGGAGAACGATGACAGTGATGAACAGAGGATTTTCTCGGGAGGGTTCTCCGATAATCTGAGAAAGTGTACTCGACAGATCCTGATTTATCTGCACCTTTTACAGTCTTTGCAAATTTTGCTGGGGGATCTGCTCCCGTGCTATGTCGTTTTGCAAGAGAAGATGTAGAGGACGATGAGTCATTAGTGCTTGAAGTTTCTAGATTTTTGAGGTCTACAACACTGCTCTGTTCCAAATCATTTTTTTCACACAGGTTAGAAAAAGAAAGCATAGACAACTCAGAGGATGAACAGCCGAAAATGGCATGTTCATTTTCACACATGACGTTTGTAGGCTTAGATTCCGATTTGGAGCCTTTGGGTGCGATGACGGATGAGCTGCCTGGCAAGAGGTTTTTATTTATGTCCAGCCGAGGTGGATAAAGTAAATGGCTTTGAGTCTTTTTACAGTGGCCGCCGCTGAGTTTGGCTGGCCAGACGATAGGTTTTTGAAAATGACTAGCAGCGACAGCTAGGTTGAGGCTGTTGGAGAGTCGCTTCTTTTTCAGAACACACATCTTTCGTTGTTTAGCTGGAATGGGCCTACGCAAATGCAAGCACTTCAAAGATGAAACCACACAGTCGTATTTAGTATCCTGGTTGGGGTTGATTGTGCTTGATGAAGTCTCAGGCGTCTGAGAAAGTAGTTCAGCACTGAAATAGGAAGAGCCAAATACAGCATTCATGTGCAACAGAGATAATTATTAAGGGAATAACGGTTGAATTACTGCCTTTATTTAAAAGTGGAACTTTAAGATAAGATAAGATTCTTTTATTGATTCAAACAAATGGAGATGCTTTTTGATTGCAATGTACATTTTCAGCACATAAATAAAACAATTTGAACACAAGACATCTATATTAAATTATTTCACTAGTGAAAAAAACAAAAACCATTCGATGAATTCTCTTAGCCATTTCAGGGACTTATTAGTTCTCATTAAGATTTGTGACTTCAGGGGGAGCCTGCTGGTAAATTCATACAGATTGGGGAACAAAGGAATTTTTATATCTTTCAGTCCTCCCCCTGACGGAAAGAATTCGTCACGAACGGGCCAATCCTAAGTATCTGTGATGAAGAGGGTGGGATGTATCATCCAAAATGTGTTTAGTTTTATAATAACATCTTTCTTCAAATAGTTCTTCAAGTGAAGGATGTTAGGATGTTTAGTTTGTGTTACATTCCTAGCTTTCTTGATTAGTCGGTTTATGCTGTGTTTAATTCAGACGATGAATTCCCACACCAGCAGGTAATATTGAAATTAAGTAGGTTTCCAATTGTTGCACTGTAGAATAAGTTAACGACTTTTTGATTACTTCAAAATTGTACAGTTTTTTTTAGGTAGAAGAGTCTTTGGTTGGATTTCTTATACAGCATTTGGCCATGCTCATGCCATGTTAACTTATTATTATGGTGACACCTAAGTACTTATATTCCTCTACTTTCTATCACTTTGATTTTTTGTGTTGAGATCTGTAATCTGGTGTTTCCCCCTCCTGAAATCAACCATTTCCTTTGATATTTTTTGAGACATTAAACTGGAGAAAATGTTCATCGCACCAATTGATAAATAGATAAAAGATAAATAAAAATGCTATCATATTATATAAAGATTATAATAATATGCCTTTTAAAAAATTGTAATTTGAGATACTTGAAAAGAAAAATTGTCATTGTTTTCTTTATTCTTGACCACTCCTAGGTCAAGGTCATGGTCAGCGAATATAAAATATCATTAAAAGAATAGCCAGTATAATTCCCCACTCAGTCTAATTTCAATAAATATATTTTATGGGGGTCTAGCATGTATTTGCATGTGAAAAATCACATTTTTTAAAGACCCTCAAAAAGCTCTAAATTACCCACACAATACAGAATAATACAATGGACAGTTCGTAGGTTTAAGTACAGAATGTGATTATTTAAATATCTTGAAATAAAATCTACATTAATGTTTTTAAAACTATCACAGAAGTTGATAAGGGCCCAATTCAAACTAGACTACGAGGAATTACAGACCTTGTAAAATCTTTCAACAGTTTGGAGATAGCAACATCAAACACACCTTTCCCTTTTCCGGGTTTTAAGAGAGGTTTAGCAGAATTCTCCTCTTTATCCTCACCACCCATTTCTTCTTTTCAACTTTTCTGTAAATAAAGAAGAAAAAAAGAAGAAAAAATGTATTCACATTAAATGTCATAAATTTCAATTATTTTTAAACTAATACTTTCTGAATAAAAATTAAATAATAAACGAAGCTTATGCGATAACTATAAGCAGAACAATAAAAAAATTGCACCCAACTAACTTAAATTGAATAAAACTGTGGAGTGATTTAAAAAGCATGTGTTTTTATTTCTTTACTTATTTAGCAGGATCCCAACATTTCACATTCAGACACATGACTGCAACAAAAATATAAATGTTAATGATTAATAGAACACTTCAGAACAGGGAGAGTTAAACTTGTATGACTAGAATGTAAAAAAATTTTTAAGCATACATGTGAACTAGTTGATCAGTCAAAGTAAAAAAAAAAATTATTATTATTTTAAATACTGTCACAAACAAGTTGACAGTCCACTGCATTTGAAGAGCTTGAGTTGAGTAGTTGATTTCAAAAGAATATCAGAACACAAAAGATGTGTAGTTAAGGCCAAGAGCTTCATACTCAACAGTGATACATTGTTAATTTTCAATATTTTAATGATACTTTCAAATTGAAATTCCAATAATGAATTGAATAAATGTTAATTTAGATATTCTTAATCTAGAGCTCCATAAGTTTTACTTATATGTGGTATAAAGGTGGGAATTATCAATGATGGTGCACCTGCCAGAGTCATTTCTAAAATTAGATGAACATTTAACTCTATTCTCAGTTGGATACAGATGAAGAGAATCATAGAAATATATAAGGCACTTTCATTCCAGATCAGTAAAGACCAAAAATGTTTTTATGGGAATGGGTTTCAAAACATTAACTTCATATTTTCAATAAGTGTCTTACATAATTTTTTTTTTACCATACATGTTAAATTTTGTGTTGTAATTTTAATTTCAAGAATTTATGCATGCAGGGTTTGAATGTTAAAAAGTAACCAATATTTCAATTTTTTATTTCATTTTCATTTTGCACTTATTAAATTTAACAAATAAGCAGTCAATATTGGTCACAATTGCATAATACATTTTATAGTGTTTAGGTCTGTGAAAGCCTGACCATTTTATGTGAAAATAGTATGTCTATTGGTCTGATTGGTCTCTATTTTTACCAATCATTGAGCTTGGACATCGTCAATGAGTTTCACTACAACTTTTTATAAATGACCACATCCATTTGAATGCAAAACCTAAATTTCCACTATAATGAAGCCACTATACAAAATGCAGATACAGGGTTTATGAAAAAAAAATTTTTTAAGTTCTGTGATTTTTTTTTTTCTCATTTCATGATGATAAAATTAATTAAATCAGAATATCCTTTACTAAAAACATCCTGCAGATAATGGTTTTCAAAACAGATAATCAGCATTTAATTCATCATTTAACATTTTCAATCTTAACACTATATTCTTCATAACAAAATACCATATGTATAAATAATAAAAAAATTTAATTGTAAAAAATAAAAATAAATGAAAATTAATGATTTTATGCATATTTCACATTTGATAAATTAATTAATTTAAAACTTGCTATTTTTTTGCAGACTTTAGCCTATGCTATAGGCTAAAAATTGGAAATAACTTCAGAAGACAATGTTAATAGAATTAAAAAAACTAGTCATTAAACTGGCAACGGCTGTTAGTTCTAGGCAGCTAGTGTTGACAAAAACTCAACTACGCCATGTAATACTACTGATGTTGATGTCTCAAAGTGAGTAGCACTTAGTCAATAGTTGTATTAAAAAATAAACTATACTAACTACTGAATGGGTAGGATGAATTGAGTCCAGTGTTCATTTGGGTTTCCTAGGAACCAGAGGGCCAATCTGAAATTGTTTTAGTGCTAAATAATTTAGACACATCCCTTTTGCCAACATAACGCCATTATTACATTTACAACAACTACAAATACATTTCTATTTATTTAATACATTTTTAAGTGTAATGCACACGACAATGGTGACGTAAAAAACAGCTTATTTATGCAAATTTTGATGTTTGAGGTTATTTATCGAGGTCAACAAAAGCATTCTTCAAAAAGTAGGTCAAAAGCTTATGCCTCATTTTAGGGCATGCACAGAACGGTGTACAACTATTTGGATGCCTTATATAGCTCGTGATGCGAACAGGGGAATTGGGTCACAGAATGTGGAGATGCAGTCCATGTTAAAAAAGTACAAACGAAGTCGTACTTTAAAAATTCATAACTTTAAAACTACAACAGCTAAAAATATGATTTTGGTGTTATAATTCTGTAAAAAAATTATCTCTATTCTACTATGCCATGGGTGGTAAATGCAAAGAGATTGCGACATTACGTATCACATTGCCGCCAACTTGGTTGCTAAAATTAGGAATATAATGTTAAAATTTATCCCTCTTAGGATGGAGCCTTTTCTGGGTATATGTGCCAAAGAGACGGAGCACTTTTTACGAGCTCGGCACTCAAATTGCAAAAAAATTTTTTTAAAATGAACTATTTCCTTAATATATGTAAAACTATATATATTCTTGTAGGAAATTGAATGAACTAATACAATCTTTATGAATCAAACCGAAATATCAACATTTATGCAAATGAGCTACATTGATTAAAATAATTTATGCATGTAATTTTTTGTTAAACCTAGAATAAACATGACTTACTTGTATCAATTGTGTGAATTTTTTGATGGATGAAGCCTGAATAAGTCCTAACACTTATGTCTATGTTTTTGGGAAACAAAGCCCATGGAGGCCCTTCAGGTACATCTCGCACATGGTTCTACTCCCTTTCCAGCCCCCCTATTTTTCAATTGTTACAGACACTCACTGTAACAGCCCCCCATTTATGACCTAAGGACCTTCTCTTAAGCTGGATGTTACTGGGAAAGTTGTCTGCATATCTATTGGTCTCTCTCATAAACATTTGAATGATATTTAGTGTAAAAAATAGCATTAAGTACTCAAATGGGGTGCTTATGCCTTGTTTATAGGACCTATGTTGTCTAAAAATTCAGAAGGGTCATCTCTGTCCAGTTGAGGACCTCTAATACTAGTAATACTAAACCAAGAGTTCACAACATTAGCATTACCCTCAATTTGAAAGTCTTCATTAATTTCCTGGTTGTTTTCATCAGTTTCAGATTCACTGCTAGAATATCAAAATCACTAAGCACAGTTTGATCAGAGTAACTGTCAGACATGTTCAAATTTCACGATAAAACTATACAAAAAAAAAACAAAAAAAACCTGCACACAAATAAATTTAGTTCACCATCAATGAACTCCGCCATTAAAATGCCAGGATGTGCAGAAATACGTAAACATAAATTTGATTCGCTGGCACAACGTCATGCCAGCCACTCATGAGGCTCGATTTATCGGGCCGATGGTTCGGACTTTTGTCTTTCTCTCTAGTCCACCTTGGGCCGAGCCCTTAGGTCCCAAGAGAGTTAATGAAAAAATGCCCCTAAATGCATCCCTAAACCTAACCTGAACCCTAAATCACTAAATCTATCCCTAAACTTAAGGTCAAAGGAGTGAATCCAAAACAGTAAGGAGTGAATCCAAAACAGTGAACAGAAAATTTACAAAAACATGTAAATGAAGTCGTGGCGCATACTCTTTGCATTGACCCCATCGGTTTATTTTTACAAAAATTATAATTTTTTTTATTAAAGTACCTATGACAAGATGCTGAACTATTTAGATTTTAAGTTTAATACTTTTAAGTGTCTTTACTTTCTAATTCTAAGCTAAGTAATTTCTTAGTACGAAGTGTCTATATGTCCGGCGCGCTGGATACACGTCCAGCGGGCATGTCACGACTAGTAGGTGTTATTATTCAGGCAGGTCATGTGACAAGTGGTCGTCAGCAAAATAGTTGATATTCCGATCCCTAGATAATACATAAATGCTGAACATGTTAATATATTCAAATGCTCTGAGTTAAATAAAGTGTTTGACTTTGAATCTTAAACTGGTCAGCTTAAATACTAATTAGTAGTACAATTACTTGTAAAACTCTACCTTGAAGCCTAAATTTAAAATATGAACCAAATAAAATAAGACCAGTAGACTTCAATAGAACTATGCCTATATCATAAAGTTGTATTTCAGGATTAGTATTGCATGACAAGTACTTCAAGTAGGCTAGGCTACCACTGTATCGGCCCTATATTAAGATGTAGGGTATATTTCTTTGTGAACTATTGGCCTCCCCGCCTTAAACTTTATTATTTATCACTTTCAGTATTATTATTTTAGCATTCGTAATTTTTATTACCGATATTCTCTCTCCCTCTTAGCATTGCTTCCTTCTGGAATGCATTATTACTTAACACCCACTTTGTTTGGTAATATACCCAAGTATTTTTTTCTATTATTTGTTTGCAAGATACTCAGTAAATTACTTGGTAGAGAAATAGATTTTAAAATTAACAATAGTTTTGAATTATTCGCGGTCAAGTGACAAGGCTGACGGACAAATATCTCGTGCCACTTTGTTACGGCTGTCATGTGACTTAGTTGCCGGACAATATCTTGATAAAGTATTCTTACGGCGGTCATGTGACTTGGTCGCCGGACAAATAGTGCGGAAGATAGCGCCGGACGTGTGTAGACATTGCCTTCTTAGTAATCTTAGTCTTAGTAAATAATTAATGTAGATACTTCGCCGAAGCAAGGGACACTCCTAGTAAATTTGTATCGGAAATGGCCATTGGCGCAGTAGGATCCGAGTTTTTAATTTTTTCATGTGCATGTAATTAGAATAAATTAGGAGTCATTTTGGCCCATAATTAAGGTTTGACTCCGCCCATTAACGTTAGGAGAAATGTTGAACTACATTCCCATTGAGTTAATTTGTTCTTTATCTCAACTTTAAGTGAGGAAAATCGTATGTCAATATAAGGCATCTTCGCATTAAAAAATTCGGTCTAAATATTCAAAGTAGATCTTTCATATTAAAAGTAGGCCTGCATAATTTGTTGAAGTACATGTGTGCAAAATTTCATTGAGATAGCTCATGAAACATTTTCACAATTCTCCTCAACGTTGATCTCATTAAGCAAGTGTCACACAGGCCATTTTGGATTAGTGATCCCGCCCCCTTTTAAATGGCGGAAAACGCTGATACTTAGCTTAGGAAATATTCATTATTATCTCCATATACATCAAAATATTTGATAAATTGCGTTTCAGAATGCATTTTGAAAACATTTAAACTAGAATTGTTAAATTTGAGCTTTAAAAACCCGGTAGAGTCCATATTATTAGCGATCAGAATTGACTGTGTGCAAAAAGTCATGGGAAACCACAGCCATTTGCATAATGCTATGCCATAGTACTACCGACTACTTCAAGTTTCATTCATAAGAGTTTGCCGTGTGCAAAAACTATTAATATAATTAACAACATTGGTCAGGGAAAGCTTTAGTTAATTAGTCTTGTGCCAAAGTTAAAATTTCAAAATAAGTAGATACCAAACAACATTTTAGGGGGTGTGTTGCCTTATATAGACTATATAGCATTTACCGGTATAATGGACGCTGAAGATTTGGTAAACAGAAAAGCCATATATTAATACATTATATTAAATTTACTGATATTATATCACTGATATACATAGTGCATAGTTAGATAAGCTACAATGGATCTATCATTGTTAACATTATTAAACTTATTTTTTTAATACACCATTAGTTCTGAAAATAAAATCATCATTAAAACAAGAGTTATATAACTCGTGACACGAACAGCGGAATGGGGTACCAGAAAATGGAGATGCGGGCCATGTTAAAAAGGACAAATTAAGTCGTACTTTAAAAATTCATAACTTTAAAACTACAACAGCTAAAAATATGATTTTGTTTTGGTGTTATAATTCTTTTAAAAATTAGCTCTATTCAACTATGCCATTGGTTTATTTTTTTTTTAAGTTTTAGTTTTTGAATCAAAGTATCTAAAGTAATGTAAAGATTTTATTTTTTGGCTTAGTGATAGTGATGATAAGTAGGGGTGTGCCGGATCCGTTTTTTCCAACCGGATCCGGATCCGGATTTTCTTATGCGAAATCCGCCGGATCCGGATACCGGTTTCTCCCGGATTCCGGATTTTGGTACTATTGGTAGATACTTCGGTAAGTCAAGGTGGACTACTACTTTTTGTGTATGGGAATTCGCAATCGGCGCCAAAAAATCCGAGTTTTTAATTTTCCGATGTGTGTGTCTATTTATTATTAAATTAGTACTTTCGATATATATTTGAGTTCCGTTCCATTTGGATAAGTGTCTTACGAGAGACGCCATGTTTCTACGCGTTCGCAGCAGGTCATGCAGCTCGCTCAACCTAATTTCGCCATGGGGTTGGCCACGCCCCCCTTTTTAATGGCGGAAGTTGACGATACTTAGGAAATATTAATTTATTATCACTATTTACATCAAAATAATTGATAACTTGTGTTTCAGAATGCATTTAAAGACATTTAAACTGGAATGTTTTAATTTGAGCTTTAACAACCCGGTAGAATCCATATTATAAATGATCAGAATTTACCGTGTGCAACACGTTGTCATTGGCAACCATTCACAGCCACTTGCATAACTGTATCGTAGTACTACCTCAGAGTTTCATTCATAAGAGTTTGCCGTGTGCAAAAACTATTAAACCATTGGTCAGGGAAAGCTTTAATTAATTATTCATGTGCCAAAGTTGAAAGTTTAAACTAAGTCTAAACAGTATTTTAGTGATAAGGCAGGGAATGCGTTGCCTTATATAAACTATATAGTCATTGCGCATGACGGGATTGGTGGAATGAGATCACAGAATGTGGAGATGCAGTCCATGTTAAAAAATGACAAACCAAGTCGTACTTTAAAAATTCATAACTTTAAAACTACAACAGCTAAAAATATGATTTTGGTGTTATAATTCTTTAAAAAATTACATCTTTTCAACTATGCCATTGGTTTATTTTTACAAAAAGTTTACATTTTCTTATCAAAGTCCCTACACTATTGGCCACTATTAGCGGTGCTGACTCTAGCCTCTGGTATGTACGGAATATTAAACATTAAACAAGCTCAACGCTCGAAACAATCGATTAATGTATCGTGATCGTGTGAAATTCGGGAAAGAGAATTACTTTTATTTCAGATTATGATCCGGTGAGTCACAAAATCTGGCAAATTCCGAAATCCGGTATATTCCGGATTTCGGAATCCGGTTGTTCCGGATACATGTAAATCCGGCGGAACCGGATTTCACCGGATAGTGCAAAATCCGGCGGAACCGGATTCCGGACCGGGGTCCGGCACACCCCTAATGATAAGTCATTCATAGGTCTAAGTCTAAGTGAATGATGAAAGTATTAGGCCAGACGCAACTATTTTCTAAACAACAGCAAAGTACACCTGACTCTGGCCTATTTAACAAAAAGTCTGGGTAGCCAAAGTCTGAAATTTGATGAAAGTTGACTCAAGTCGTCAAGTCGAGTTAGTATAGTATTTAGAAAGGCAGTAAGCTAACCACAGTTTCAGTGTTTGTTAAGTTAGCCAGCCTACCTTTTCAGATCAGTGGCTTTCAATTTCCTTCAAATAATTTCTTTTAACAATGTATTGATTCTTGTTAGAGATGACAAAAATATTAACTGCTAGAAATGGTTATTTTATTGGTTAGGTAGACATCTACCATGAGGATATGAGTGTGATTCAGCTTTTCTTTGGATATTTCGTATTGTCATGAATCATAAAACCTTGTTTTGGCTGCCATGATAAATATGCGTTTTACGTCACTAGCTTTACACAACAAACCATGTAAAAAATAATATTAATATTTATTGATAATTTTTAGTTTAAATGTTTTATTTCAGTATTTTATTATAATTCTATAATCATATTTATCAAGAAATTCAAAATAAAAGTGTTTTTTAAATTTCATTAATTTTGGGAAAACAACCATATTTGATGACGTAGAAGACAAGCGACGTCAGCATCAAAATCTGATGGTGGAAAAATAAGCTGCTAAAACTATCAAGAAGACACATATTTTTGTTAATTGTTTGGTTTTTGTTATTGCTGCCTCAATTTTAAATCATGGAGTTTACCGAACTGGTGTCTCCACACGTAGCAATGCCTGTTATAGGCGTTGTAGTTTGTGCGATAATGGTTTTTGCATTTGGATTTCGAACACCCGTTCAGCCTCCAAGTTTCAGTTTTGAAGAGGACAGTGAAAAGCGAAATAAAAAGCGAACAAAACCAACAAAAGTATGCATTTTTTGTACTTAAAATTATGTGTATGCTCACTTTACGCTAGCAATAACTTTATATTTGTTAGGAGACTCATTATTCCCCAATAAAAAACTCCAGATGGCCAATTTTGGTAATCACGTATTTTAGCTTACATAATAATTATTGTTAGTTTTAGGCTTTTTTAGTTTAAGGAAACAAATTTTTAACTTCATATTTATCTGATGGATGGACTACATTAAAACTAAAACACTTCAGTGGTGACTATAAGTATAAGGCTTAATTATTATTTTCCAATTAGTTTTTCATGTATTTGGTTTTAGAGGATTTTTAATGTAAAAGAAGACAATGTAGGTATTTAAAAAGATCAGCTGACAATTTTTTTTTTTCAGTTGATCACAAGTTTGTTTATTCAGTTGATGTGAGTTTTCCTCACTTTTTCACAATCTCAGATCAAAAGCAATTTTCATATGGTTAAAGTAGATACTTCGATGAAACAAGGCAGACTACTACTTTTTGTGTATCGGAAATAGAAATCAGTGCCGAAAAATTTTCCTATGTGCGTGTCTATTTATTATTAAATTAGTACTTTCGATATATATTTGAGTTCCGTTTTCGGCCTTATAATTAGGTAGACATCTTGGCCTACATTTTAATCAATTTCTTTTTCATTTACAATCAGTCAGCTTTGAGAAAATCCTTGGTAAATATAAGGCAACTTTCATCATTAAAATTAAGTCGAAGGAAAAAATTTGTCACTACCAAATTTTTTTTGCATCTAGGGAATCTATTGATCTACATGTATGCCAATTTTCACAGCGATAAGTGTCTTACGAGAGACGCCATGTTTCCTTGCGTTCGCAGCAGGTCATGCAGCTCGCTCAACCTAATTTCGCCATGGGGTGGGCCACGCCCCCTTTTTAATGGCGGAAGTTGCCGATACTTAGGAAATATTAATTTATTACTACTATTTACATCAAAATAATTGATAACTTGTGTTTCAGAATGCATTTTGAAGACATTTAAACTGGAATGTTTTAATTTGAGCTTTAACAACCCGTTGTGATTGGCAACCATTCACAGCCACTTGCATAATGGCTGTATCGTAGTACTACCTCAGAGTTTCATTCCTACTCTGAGCTCCAAAAATATGAATAAATTAATTTAAAAAAAAATAAATTCATTATTTTCACTTTTTAAATTTCAATAAAATTCATTTATTAAAATTGTTTCTCTACTCTCCTACTTATTTTGTTGCCGGTACATGCATTTCAAATGCATTGTTTATAAGATGGGTAATTAACAATAATAAAGACTTTTCTTTTAACATCTAACAGCACCTCTCAATCACCACCCTTCCTTTTTTAAATTTTCCGGAGCTCAGGACGGAGGTGGAGTTATCAAAAATTGTAGAGAGTGGAGCTTTGGTGGGGGGGTTCCACATATTTGTGATCATATTTCCAGTTTGTGTTAAACATTTGTGACGATTGTCAAATTTGGGGGGGGGGTGGGTATTGGCCATGATAGCATGAGAGCATTGACAGGTTGGAGGCTGTCCAGCGACGAGCAGCATGCTTTGTCCTAAACCGCTACAGGAATACCTCTAGTGTTGGCAGCATGCTAGAAACACTAGGATGGTCACCATTGGAGAAACGATGACGACAATTCAGGCTCTCCATGATGTACAAGATAAATAATGGGCTGGTCCACTGTTCCAGTATTAAACAGAAACTCGTCCCTCTCCCCCATAGACAGCGACGAGGCCATGACAGGCAATTCAGGCTCATACCAGCAAGAAGCCAGTATAGGAGCTGCTCATTCCTGCCCAAGACAATCAGGGACTGGAACAATCTTTCAAAAGGAACGGTTGAGGCGACAACACTAGACACATTTGTGTCTATTGCCTCAAGCCTTCAAACCCCTAGTGCATGATTTCCTCATCAACACCAGTAACAGAAACATTGCAAATCCCATCTACATGCATAGGAGCCAAAATGATCAATAAATTGATCGTGGGCCCTTAAGATATAGAAGAAGAAGAAGGAGTTCATTTATTGATGGTCATTTCATACTGACATCAAACAAACACATCCATCATTGGTCAGCTCTAATTTGAGCACACCCCTTCCTTTTTTTTGCATGTTAGTGTCCCCAAGTTGACTGTTTATACACAACAAGACAGACTCATTTTGTTGTATTACTGATATTGGGGTCACTTTGTTCAAAATGGCACGGCAACCAAGATTAACCAGAATTCAAATTGTTGATGCAATGAAAATTTTTAATGATGCAACAATACGGACTGAGATTTTGCTTATGCGAATAATTTCTGAAACAACAAATAACGTCAATACGACTATGGAATTTCTTGCAAGGTACTCTCTTTTGAAGAACAAAATGGGATGAACATCTGCATTGTGGCTTGTAAACTTGCTAATTACAATCAAGGAATTGATAAAAAAGATATGGATGTGTTCTATTTGTGGTTCAGAAAAATTATACCATAATCTTCTGTAGGATTTTTACCGTTTTCAATATTTATACATTATACATCTTTTTAACACAAGTATTTATTGCATGCTATTTTGGCCTATTTTTCGACAACCCTCCTACCACATCACAAATTTGAATAGCTGTGCCTGGGGCAAAGAAAGTAGCACACCTAGTATATAGAAAATGGCACCATCTGATAATTGTGCCGAGGGCCAGTTCCATAAGTGAAGGGATAAAAATTTGCAGAAATTAAATACCCTATCTATTTTAAATAAATTTGTGAATTAATTTAAAAACCATATATATGAGTATTTAATTTTGATATTTAATAGGCCATTAGTTCATAAAATTAACCGATAAAAGATACCTGGAATATATGACACCTAAATCTTTAACATTGTAAATCCACTTACAGGTTAGAAAGAAATATCAGACACATAGACATAAATAAATAAAGTTGAAAAATAAATACAAAATTTATTTAAATCTAGACACATCCCATTAGGCAACTTTTATTACGTAGCTTTAAAGTCAGAGGATTTACCCTTGATTTATCACAATGGCGATGTGAATGATAAAAGATTTGTGAAATTAACTTTTTTTTCATCTATCTTGTAAAATTTGTAAAATGATTGTTACATTTGAACAAAAAGACATTTTTTTACTTTAAAATATACTTTTAATTGTGTTGCATCGGGTAAATAGGAAGTTTTAAATTTATTTCACTTGAAATTATTTATCACGCTAAAATAAGGGATCACCCCAATTTTATATGCTACCAACTTTGTCACTTCCTAAGCTAATTATTTGACGCACACCTGACACTGTCGCAAGCCAGAAAGTACTCTACAAAAACATCTACGCTTAAATAACTTTTTATTAAATTTAATTGTAGGCCTTAATAGTTGTCTGTAAATTGTAAGGAGTAGTCAAGAGGCCTAAATATTGTCTGAACCATTCACAGAATTCTCACACTGTCAGGCAACGATAGATTTTGAAATAATCAGAAAAAGATTAAAAAATCATTACTAAATGTGAATCTCTTTACTAAGTTGTCAGCACAACATCTTCATTTAACTTTGAAGGCACAGAAGAGGGTTGAATACAAAATTTAAATTAAATCCAAGGCCAAGAAAGTGAATTCTGCTGGTTTTAGTGTTCTTTTTTTTTTTTTAATATGGTCCCTCAGGCATTAAGTCATCACATGAATTATGCTTTAGCATCTTTACTTTGACATTTTAAAATCGAAAGTCCAAAGGTTGAAAAGGACCTCTCATTTTAGCCATTTAAAAGTTTGTTTTGTGCTATGATAATTTATTGGGCAGACCCTCCAGCTCACTGATACCTTTGATATTATATTATTTATGCGTTTTTTTCAAAGCAGTAATGTGGACAATTCACTGCATTGAGTCACTTTTTGAGACATTGGACAAATGTCTTCTATTATTTCGTACACGTTTTTCTACTATTTTGTTGAAGTTTTATTGTAAAATTTATAAAAAATCATCATTTGTATTCATCTATATTATATAGGCCCACTATATTTTATATTCTTCATTAATGAAAAGCATTATTTTTTTTCAGTTGAAAGGTCCAATAAATGGTCATATTATAAATGAGCCTGCAGCTGATGATGTTCCAAAACTACCTGTCAAGTCAAAAGAAGTTAAGGCATCAGCACCATCTCCCAAAGCTAAAGTAAATGAAGCAACAAAAACGCCAACAAAACGAGATGCAAAACAGGAACTCAAATCAGATAAAAAGGAAAAGGTGCGTTTGTATTGAATGCCCTTGTATTTATTTATAGTTCTCTAATAATCAAAATGCATATAAGTTGACAATCTTTTTCTTCTGAAATTTTTAGAAAGCTGTTTCATTTCTGAATTAGATGTGTGCAGTTTTCAAAAACGGCAATTTCACAGACTGCAGTGAAATAGTTGTTTTTTTTTAAACCCCAGATTCCATAATAACGTCTCCTTCTTATCTGAGCACATAAGACTTAATTTTACTTGAGAAAAAACTATGGAAACATTTGGTGGACCCAATCTGGAATGCAGTCAAGAGTTGGTCATGTTTACTTTGGTCCAATGCCAATGAAATCACATCTGCCTCACAATAGGCTATAATTTATTAATTTGTTCTTATTAGGTAATTTAAATAATGTAATATTACAAAGGCTCACATTTTTTTTATAATGGTGCAACTGCCTAAACAGAAGCATAAATAGCGCTAAAATAACAGGAAATTCACATGTAGATGAAAACATTTGTTTGTTTTTCTTTTAATTAGTTCTTATTTTCTCCTCTATTATTATCTAGCAACAGCAGCAGCCTAAAAAACAGAATGTAAAAGAAGAGGTAGATGTGAAGAAAGTAAAAAAACCTTCAAGAAAAGAGGCTGAGGACGATGGTAGCGTATTTATTTTTCAACATACACTTTTGGTCTGGTGATGAAACAACTAGTTATCTGACCTGGTTACTCTTATGATTTTGGCATACAGTGTACGATTTTGTGATGTCTTTTATGATTGTATGCTGGTACCTGTTGGCACTACAATTTTAAGAGACTGGGATACAAAAAATATATTCAGTAGTTTTTTCGATTTAAAAAAACAAAATTTTATGGTTGTTAGTTTTAGCTTCTTCTACATCTGTCGGTGAATGGACCAAAACAGCTAGCAGTATTTATTGGACTGTAGCATGTTAACAGAAAATAAAATCAGCCTTGTGGGGCTGGGCTTAATAGATAACGATATTTATATAACAGCTTCTTATAAAAAAATCAATCTCAGGTCTCTTGGTAGGTTTTTCAATTGACATCATTTTTTTATTTCAATAAATTGTATTTTATGCTGAAACTGTATGTTTAATTATTTACCTAAAAGATAAGGTATTGTACGACTTTAGTATGGTATAGTATTACCCTGAGACGATATTGTACTTATTAAGGGTGTTATAAGGTAACCGGGTCTGAGATATGATTGTAAAATTCAGCTAGCCAGTTATGTTTGTAGAGACAAGACTTTTGGGGAAATTTAATAGATTTCATTTTATATTTAAATACTTAAACTTTTAATGGTGGAATTTTAACATACCTGACCCATTTTCTGTATAAATGCAGGTTGAAGACTAATTCAAGTTAAAGAAATTTAACAATGATTTCTTTACTCTTGTTTTTTTTCCTCTTATCGTCACTATCACATACATGAAGGTGATGTTTCAATTTTTATCTACTGTATTTGCAGTTCATTTTTCTGTTCTGCTTAGCTTCTAAGCTTCTTGGTCAGGCTTTAAATGTTAAATCTGATTATGCCAAGCTATTTATTCTATGCTTGGTAACTGAGGAGATATAAGGGTTTGCAACCCGTGTTCATACAGTTGTATATAGTGTTTATAACCAGGGTTATTATGTGGCATTTGACCACAGAATTAATTTTTCCAGCAATGTGAGTCCAAACTGTGGAAGCATAATGTGTACAGTACATTACTGTCATCTTTTATCAGGTGAATGGACTACAATTCAGGTGTCTAAGAAAAGCAAAAAACAGAAATCATCAAAGAAAGATGGCGGCCGTGCTGAATCAGCTAGTGACTTTGATATTGAGCCAGATACACCAGTATCTGATGCTGCCGCGGCATCAGCTGCAACACAGGGAAGTGAAGTTGAGGAGTCCAGTTCACCTCAAGCTAATAAGACCAAGAGAAAGAAGAAGGAGAAAATTGCAGTGAAGGTGAGCCTGCAGTGACTCTTCAGTAGATGGTTTTTCATGTTTGGAAATTTGTGCAAAAGAAATTTGTTCAGATGAAAATTTTCAAATAAAACTTTGTGTGAATGGACATTGAATTTGTTGAACGAAGATTAAAAAATTTCTGAAAATCTTTTTATTTTCCATTTTCTTTTTGAACCATCTTCTTTCAAACAAATTTCTTGCCTACAAATTTCAATAACCACTGTTTTTAAATACATTTTATGTGCCGGGAAGCAGCTTGCTAATTTAGCCTTTTAGCTCATGACCAGCGGTGTTATCTACTCACTTATTAAAAAAAAATATGGTAACACATCAATTGAAAAATTAAAATTTTAGTCACCTGGTCTCAAGTTCATATTGATTTTTAAATTTTTATGACCTGCTTGTGGTTAAATCTCATCCAGGAGGAGGTGGTGGTGCCTGTTATTGAGAGACCTGTTGCTGCCAGTACTGCTCCTGCACAAGATGATACTCAAGCTGAGGTTTGTACACATTAATATTTCTATGGAAAATCTTTGCAAAAATATTTATAAATATTCTTCAAGCATACTTAGGGTTTTTTAAACTAATTTCTCACACTTTTATCACGCCTTTGTTGACCATTTGAAATTCTAGAATTAACGACATTAATAAGTTATTTATGATTTGAGAATGTATTGTCATTCTAATTCAATTAGTTATTAATCAAAATCACATAGAAATACTATGCAAAAATTGTTTCTGTAATGGGGCAAATTTACTTGGTATTTAAAAGATATTTGGGACTTAAAGAAAATAACAGAATAAGTCAGTGGAGCTGCTTTGCAAGATTGAGATAAATTTGGTGGGTCTCCTTTGGCTGTGAAATGGTCAAATAAGTAAGAAATGTAAATATTTCTCTTCTCAATTCTTAGTTAAAATGGAGCAAAAATGTTTATTCATATTATCTTTTAAAAAAAATTAATTTCTGCCTTTTTTTTGTGTTTGGATTAACAGGACATTAAAAAAAAGAAGAATAAAAAGGAAAAGAAAGCAGTTGGTTCTTCTATAGCTGCTGCTGGGGCTGCAACCCCTTCTGAAAACTTGCCACAGGATGCTGCTCCAGCATCAGGAAAGGCCACCAAGAAAGAAGTTGCAGTTCCAGCTGCAAGTAACACTAAAAAAAGTAAATCTGTTCCCCAAGCTGCTGCAACGCCTGTTGTTACAGAGCAGCCAAGTGTTGTTAAAAAAACCAAACCTACCCCTGTACCTGCTGCTGCTGCTCCAGCTAAATCAGAGCCAAGCCCTCCAGAACCTGTTCAAACTCAGTCAGTGAAACCTAAGAAGACCAAAGCAAGCACGCCTCAGGTTAAAAATGAAAGTCAACAACCAAGCCCTTCACAGGAAAGTGCAGAGCAGATCAAATCAAGCCCTCAAAAGAAGAAGGCTAGAAGCGTTGAAAATGTCCTGGTATGATCTCTATATGTCTGATTCATTTATTAGTTTTATGTACATACTTAAGTTATCGCTATATTTGATCTACTTTGCATTGTTATTTATCTTGTGAACATGTCGGGAATATGTTTATTCCAGGAGGAGAAGTCTGAAAAGGCAGCTGACATACAGATTAAGCCTGTTGAGCCTGTTAAGAAAAGTGCTGACAAAAAGAAGCCTGAAACTGGTATAGTTGATAACCTGTCCTGATTATGTATTTAGCAAGGGAAAAAAGGATTTCATTAAAAAATTGTCTCAATATGGAAATTAGGAGCTACTGTTTGGAATTTTGAGAATAAACATCAAGAAGCAGCAGCATAATAAACAATAACAAACAAATAAACTTAATCCTCCTCAAACTTAAGACTAGTTTATTTTATTTTTTAAAATGTCAGTAACCCAAAGATTTGTAACATACTAGGTTTAGTGAACACTTTCTATATTTTTGTCCACATATTTCTTACAATATCAATCAGGTGATGAGTATTCCAAATAAAAATGGCTTTATCTTTTTTTTTAAAGTGGTGATAATGAGTGGTTGAGTAGTTAACTGTATTTGACATTTAGGAATTTACATGTTGAAAATAGCTTTCTCCATTTATGAATGAAATTCACAATATTTTAATGCAATTATAGAACAAATAGATTTTTCAAAGTAATAATTTCTAAACCAAACTACAGTACACAGTTTTTTCCCCTTTTGCTGGGTATTTAATATTTAAAATTTCCGAGTTGCTTATTTAAAATGCTTTCAGATTTTTAAATATCTATAAATAAATGAACATAAACTCTGATTTATACTGTTTTCACATTCTTTTATTTCCTTAGCATCCAAGGTGGAATCAGAGACTACTCTTGTTTCATCAGAACCTCAAAAACCAGTGTCTGCCTCTGCGCCAGCACCCAGTATATCTTTTGATGAAGTTGGTGGTAAGGACCGTTTGTGTAGTAGCTGCTAGTATCATTGAACAAAACATTTTTCACCAGAAACAAATCTTGACTGATTTTTTTATTTGCATTTATACACTGTGAACTCTCTCACTATAAAATCTATTATAATAACTTAACATTATACAATTTTTAATGAATACTTCTTTCATTAGTGTTTATAACATCAAAATGGTTGTGTTAATCTCATTTTAAATATCTTTTTAGTCATTGTTTAAATATTGATCTAAATTCAACTGCATTTATAATATGGTTTGCAAAATTAACTTTTCTTGCAGACTTATGGCAAGAAGCTACTCCAAAGAGCAAGAAAAAGAAGCCAAGAAGAGATAACTAATGTCAGCAAGTTGGCACCAGTCTTGGTTAGTGTCACATGAAGCAGCATTCCTTCAATGTTTTTATCATAAAATTACAGTATAAATCATGTGATATGGAATGTGTCGGCAACACAGTGTCTTATAGACAAGTAAGGGAAACAGCCTGCTGGTCATAGCCCTTCTTTTTATGCATGCTTTGGCTTCTTAACATGATCTGAAAGAACTGGTGAAATTATATCTCAAATTCACATATTTCAGAATATGTGATCTATGCTTAGGCTCATTGAAAATCATTTGTTTTTTTGTTTTTTTTTTTGTTGTTGTTTTTTTCCCTGCTTTTTTGGGGCATTACTTAATTTTAAGAAATTAACCAGGTGTGTGTAAAAGTATGCAAGCACTTAAGAAAAGATAACTGGGTAAAGAGCAGCGCAAAATTAATTAATGTTTTATGTAAAATCAGGACTTAGGTGGTGTAAAGACCACAATGATTGTTTTCTTTTCTGTAAGCGTAAATTTTAAATTATAAGCTATTTAAAAAAAAAAAATTTGAAGTATTTCAATTTATTCTCTTTAAACCATTAAAAGTGACATCTCATCAACGTTCTAAAGCTTAACCTACTTACCAAGTTGATCTACCGGTACTTTAAAGTGTTTGAATTCTTCTATAAGCACCTTATACTTAAACCACTTAAAAATCTAAATTTAAAAAAAACAAAAAACACTAATTTTATTCATAATCAGAAGGGCCTCCTAACAATGATTTAACAATCCACTTGTGCATTTCATTCTGTCTTTCTTCAATCATTTCATGTTTTGTTTTAAATGCTTTGTCATTCAAACATCTTTTACTGTAATGGGTACCTTAATGTCATTTTTATTTATACACTTCATAAACCATAACGAGAGAAAAGAGGTAAACTAGAAGAGATGTGTCAGTCTAGCCTATTGTGGTCATTCAAAAATAATATATGCCAAACGGTGAGTTATTTGCCTCCTTTTATTTTTCATTACGATATTGCCATGAAATGAATTTTGATATCTGTGCTATATAATTTTTTTACCCCTTTCTCTAGTCATAAATTTGTTGCACACCTGATAAAAAAATGAATACAGTTAGAAGTGTATTCCTCTCAACTCAGTAGTATAGCGGGTGTGACACATTTTAAGATGTTATAAAATGTGTTTTTTCTTTGAAAGTTGTTTAGCAGTAAGTTTAAATGCTTTATTAGCTCTCCCGTTAATATTTCAATTTCTATTTAAAATTGAAATAAGTCAGTCAAGCCTTATTTAGAACTAATGTAATGATCATTAATTTAAAAATTTGGTTTTTTTTTAATATTAAAATTTTAATTTTAACGTTAATGTATTGTTAAACTAAAAATAGTTTGGTGTTTTTTTTTCAATGTTGATTTTTATTAATTTCTTTACACCAATTTGTCTGTAATGATTGCTCATTTTCTGATCACTTTAATGAGCAATTCCCTTGTATCCTGTTTGTTCTGTTTTAAACATAATAGCTCAATAGTTATGGTATCACTATTTCTTTATGGCCCAGTTTAATCAGGCTTTTGTAATCAAACTGTCAAGGTTGGTTTATGTAAATGCCAATTGTCTACCTCTTGATCATAGCAAGTTGAACTGATTATACTGTTGATGGTGACAAGGCTGCTCCACTCAACATGAAATGCATGTCTTTTCTTCTTTTCTTCATGCACATGAAGTTATATTATTTATTCCTTTAAATCTGCTCCTTCCTTTGCCTTCCTTCCAGTGAAACCTATTGCAATCTCGAGAGCCTATTTCCATTCTCCTGAGATTCTCACTGTGGTTGATTATTATTTCCCCAATACCTTTTTTCTGCATTTTCCCTCTTGTGATAAAAACCTGTTTGTAAAAACCACATTTATTGTGATGTAATCATATACAATCTGCTGTCTGCCCTATTAACACTTCTTCTCTCAAATCTTGCTGGAGAGTTTTGTTTCATGCAGATGGAGAAACGTCAGGTTGAATATTCTGAAGGATTGAGTTATTTAGATGAATAATGCCTGCTTACCATGGTTTGCCCAATTAATTTTTTGAGACTATAAAATATTGCGAATTTATTCAATATTGAAAGACAAGATTTTGTTTTGTCTGGCAGCTGATATCTAATGCTTGACCTGTATCATATTTGTGAGAAATGACAATCTTTGAGTACAGTTTCTTTCAGTAATAATGTTATTATTTTTTACTATAAATAACCCACCAGACAATGTTGGTGGCACTGTGTGAAATTCCCATATGTTAAAGTTACTTGACAAAACATGGATTCAAGTAACGCTTTTTATAGGAATCCGAATTTGTGCTAACTTCTGAGAATTACAGCCTTACATACCAGAGAAATATTATTTGTGATTTTATTAAAGCAGTTAAACAAATTAGAAAGTTGAAGACGGGAAAACATATAAAATGAGTTCCAATTATTTATATTGATGCCTGACACTAAGATTTCATGTCACAAACTTGCACAAATAAAGGTGCACACCTAAGATTTTGATGTTTCTGTAATGCAGAAGTTAAAAATGTTAACATGTATGTCAACACATTTAATTTGTGTCATTGTTTAAAAAAATATTGATGACCACTTGATATCCATCTGCCAGCCATAGATCTCGGTATGATTGTTTACTCGATACATGAACAGGATAATTTGGCATTGCCTGATCCTGGAATGTTTGTGTAGAGTAGTAAAAGTTAATGGTTGTTTGTTTTCATTTAAAACCACAAGAGTGTATTCAATCAAATGAAATGAGATAATTTTTTTGTTCAATCTGTTGTTGAAATGCAGTGGGAAGCTTCCACTTAAAAGTATTGTGTGAATAGTTTGTTTTAAAAGTGACTAGATGTGTTCAGTGTGTGCGTTTTTTGGTTTATGTATAACATATTTATGTTTTTATATGCAACATTTCAAGGGTTAAACACATTTGACATGGACCAGCAAAACATGACTTGTGCTGAAATGCGTGGACCATTTTACTACCAACTTACTGCAGGGTTCAGGATGATGTCAGGATTTTTCCTCTATTTTTTCTGCTCACTTCCTATATATCTTTATTTATTGAAAAGTTTCTTTAATTACATGAGATTTTGCATTGAAAATTTTAATCTTAGCACATTGTTTTAGAGATCTTTAAAAAGCAAAAAAACAAGCTTGCCTAGTTTTGTCTTCCATCTTGCATATGTCAGTTTGTTTTTTCAAGACAAATGTCTGGATCTAAGGTTGCTTGCTGGTACTGGAAGTGACATTTGTGTTCCATCAGGTACAGTGTAAAGTTTATCTGAGAGAATGTACTTGGTCTTCCATTTAATCATATTTAAAAACAATTTGCTCTCCAACCTTTTCATAAGTAGGCATAATAATTAATTACTAATTCAAATATTATTGTCAGAGTCATTGCTGGCTTAATTAATTATCTTCTAATTAGCTAAATTGTGGTGATGTAATTTTCATACAGTTTGTGCTATTATTCTTTATACAAAATTTAGTTTGAATTGAATAACATTGTATTTCCCTTTTTTCAAGTACTGTGGAAAAGCACCACTCTAATATTAGCTCCAAAAGAGTATGTGTATGGGGACAAACAAGTACCGTCCTTTTGTAAATGCAGTAAAACGGGCATTGAAAATGTTTTTTTGCTCTTCAAAGTGCATGGTTGTGAATTGAAAGATTTATAGGGCGCATTAAGTAGTTTTTATGTTAAAATGTTTTTTTTATATTTTTAAAAAAAGTAAAAATGAAAGGGTTTAAAAAAAAAAAATGAGCTAATATTAAATATCTTGTCAAGCTGAAAATTCTCTAATCAAACACTTAAGTTCATAAAAAAAAAATTTAAATAATGTTTCTAGTCTCAAATTTCCCTTTAATTAATGGTTGATATACCAATCTGATTATCTCACCCTTATGCACTGGCATAACTTCAGTGGTGGACAGAGGATGTCTGGCAACCTACTTGAACTTGTTGGACATCATGTCTCACAATATATATATTACATGATAAGTAACCTGCCAGTCATTAACTTTTTTTGTTTGATTTACTTATCTTGCTCATTATTTCTTTCAATATTTGACAAATCAGTCTTTTTTTTTAAAGAAATCAACCCTTGTAACCTACAAGAGACATAGATTGTTATAAATTGGTGGTAAGGGAGGGGGGGGGGGTGTTGGTGATTGAATAATATAAATTTTGGCATCCTTTTTGTGTGCCCTATTTACAAAATTGCCATGAAAAAGAAACATCAAAGTCTTTTCTCTGGTTTTTGCTAGTTTACAAGGGGGGGGGGGGGGGGGGGGGGGTGTTGGTGATTGAATAATATAAATTTTGGCATCCTTTTTGTGTGCCCTATTTACAAAATTGCCATGAAAAAGAAACATCAAAGTCTTTTCTCTGGTGTTTGCTAGATTACAATATATGTTTGGTGATGGGAATGACAGATTTTTTACAAGTTGTCTTAGCACTTCCAGGATTTCTGTACATAGTCTAAAAGCATTCAGTCTTCTTGTTTAGTGTAATTTCATGTAAGATTCCTGCATTTGATTTGTATATCTATTATGTTGAAAAGTAATGCTTTTTAAGAAAGAATTTAAAAAAAAAAACTATTTACCAGCGTCCTAAAATTAAACACTTAAAACACTAGCACTCCTTACAAGAACAGATGCATAGCAGAATTAATTTTGGTTTAACAAAATAACATAAAAATCATTGCTGACTTTGGGGATAGTAAACGGACATCCTGAACACGGTTGCTGTTAACATTTCCAACCAAGTATTTTAATTTGACTCTTCTTAAAATGATTTAAAAAAAGGTTGAAAAGACCTTCAATTATTGAATTTTTTATTTGTTGAGATAATAAAACCACAGGTTTAATAGATCTTTTGTAAACCAATTTTTCTCTTTGTGGGATGATAAAACCACAGGTCATGATTTATTTTACTGCATTATTAATATTTAAAAATTAAGGCTGGTTGTCTTTCACTGTGCAGTTATTTTTAATTCTTTTCTTACATACATTAGTCACTGTTATACCAGAGAGTAAGAAGTGCATTTTTAAAGATTTTTATATATATTTTTTTAAACAATTGAGAAATCTATTTAGATAGTGAGAAGGAATTTTATGTATACTAATGTTTAAGGTTTTTTTTTTTCCTCCATATTTGATGATTTGCTTGAAGCAAAGCAAAGCTCCAATTGTTTATGAACATTTACACTATACTTTGCATCACAAATGAATTATGTCATGACTGTACTTGTGCAATTTTGTCTTTTTAAATAAAGGAATTAACTTGTGTGATTTCTTCAGTTAGAAATAAAGAGACCAAAACCAATGTTAGACTTAGTTAATGTGGTGGTGGCTATTGTTTGGTGCAGGGTTGTTTTTTCTCCCCCATTTTTTTCCAAATTGTTGTCATGCCATCCCAAACTTTCTAACATTGTGAACATGGGTGTGATTGGGAAAAGTAACTGATTGCATGCTTGAATAAGTGATATTCAACTTCTAATTAAGTCTGTTGAATATCTCTCTCTCTCCCTATTGCAATGTCTTTACTATTGGTAATGTGATTGTGCAATGCAATTTTGTCCTCCCATTGTTAATGCCAAATTGTGAACTGTCAATTCATGTAATTGTTTATTTCATGTGACATCAGTACTCCAAGTGAGAACTTGATATATGATTATATCTGACAAAAAGATTATAAAAGTGTTTATTTTATGAGCCGTATTTTTTTTTCTGTAGATATAATTATAATAAATGATATGTACCATTTTAGTTTTAGTGTCTCTTTGTAAAATTAATTAGAATTGAGTAGTGTTCGTTGTGAAATGAAATATGGCTGCCACCGTTCTAACCCATGTCAGAACAATTAAGTCCTAATTTGGTGCCCTTGCTACTTATGTCACACACTGTTATGGCCCAATAAAAAAATTGGAACCAAGTAAAGTGGCGAAAGTGGACATACAAGTATTTCCTGTTTATTTGAAACTTGACCTGTGAAGCTTTCTCAAAACTTGTTAAAGGATATGGATTGGCAAACTACAATCCTTGAGCTAAATCAGTTCCTGCCTCATTTGTAAGTCTGCAAACTAGGATTGGATTTTATATTGAAACTGTAAAGTTTAAATAATATATAATTTTTTATACCTAAAGCATGTACAGCCGCTTCACCCACTTTTTAGTATTTTCTTGCCATAGCAAATATCATTTTCTGCTTATCAAAAGAAAATGGACCAGCTTGCTACATTTTTTAGGGTGCCATCTGCACACACTAGAGCAATATGTGTATCCCCACATCAGAATTGTTTAAATGACTTGCAAGTAAGGTACATAAATTATAACTAGAAAGTGCTTCATTTTTTAAACTTTTTCAGTTATTTTTCCACCAGCCAGACTAATTGGTTTACATAAAAATAACTCATAGAAAGTGAAAACGGCAGGAATAGAATATCTTCATTTGAAGTAACGAGTACAATTTTATTTTTTACAAATTTAAGCCTTCTCACACAAACATAAATATTCTGCCAACATAAAATACATATTACACTCATCAGGCTTTCAAGGTCAATACAGTCCTAATAATGGATCTTAATGTTTTATTTTGCCATCTGGAAATAAGAGAAAGACAAACAAATTTGCCTATTGACCAGAAAAGTTCACAAACTTATTTTTTTTCTTGGATGTAGACAATTGTACAAAGAGGTGAAATAACTTCATACTTTCACTAATTGTAGTGAAGGACTTTTTTTTAAAAAACAAAGCAATAAAACAACTAGGAACTTATTGAAGATGAGAAAATGTATAATTGTGTATCAGCTAGGCTTGTATTGCAACCACAATTGTATTTCTCAATTTTCTTTTTAGGATTAAGCTGTTCCTCCCCCCACTTCTAACTAACCCTTTATGAATTACACCGATAGTGTTATCAGCTTTGGCCTCCTCCATTTAATGGGGTCTTTATTTGAACCATCTGTGAATATTGAGAAATTAAAATCGTTTTACTGATAATTATATAAAACTATTTGGAAGGTATCAGAGTAAGTTGTAATGTAATAATTTATTTACCTTCAACATCTTCCTTACATAGTAAAACAATTACCAATGGTCATTAAATAATATAAAATCATCCTTACTTAAATAAAACCAAGCCCTCTTAGATATTTTTTTGGAAATGTAGAATCTTTTTAATTTTAAGTGACTAGAAAGTTTATTAAATTTTTTAAAATGCACAATAGTTTCAACCATGGATTTGGAGGGTCTTGGAAAAAGGGGCTTTTACCAGGGCTGGTAAAAATACTTAATGTTCCAAAATTTTTAAAAATAAATAGAAGTTGAACTTATTAATTTAAAAAAAAGTAATTTGTTAAAATTGATATCCTATCTTCTACCAGCAATGTTTCCATAATCATCTACAGATATTTTCAAATGTTGACGCACTCCCATAGTTATGTTACCCTAATCTTATACAAATATGTTTCCCCCACTCTTCTACCTGCCATTTTGCCCCCCCCCCCCCCCCCCCCCCCCCCCCCCC